AGGCAGGAGCTGCCCAGCCCGATGCTAAGTGAGGTGGGGAGGCTGGGAGCAGTGAGTCAGCACCCTTCTCAGGAAGGGACAAGACAAGCGTCAGATGACTGACAGTGCAGTAAGAGGTCACTGTCAGATGACAGTGCAGTAAGAGGTCACTTGGTACCATGGAGGTCAGGGTGGGGCCTCAGGACTAGACTGGTCAACCACGGGCGCCATGCATGAGAGCTGCCCGGGGTCGGTTACCACCTGCCCACAGCCAGGGATATGGGAGCAGAGTGTATTCTTTTTGCATCCACCCAAGGCATTTTGCTCCACTTCAACCTCTGCAACACTAGTTAACAACAAAAATGAAAGCATCAATCTTTTTTTTTTTGCGGTTCGCGGGCCTCTCACTGCTGCGGCCTCTCCCGTTGTGGAGCACAGGCTCCGGACGCGCAGGCTCAGCGGCCACGGCTCACGGGCCCAGCCGCTCCGCGGCATGTGGGATCCTCCCGGACCGGGGCACGAACCCGTATCCCCTGCATCGGCAGGCGGACTCTCAACCACTGCGCCACCAGGGAAGCCCGAAAGCATCAATCTTTAGGAAGGGGAAGAAAGGGATATTTGCAATGCAAAAATCCAACACACACAAAAAATTCCCAAACCTCACAACATTATCAGTGTAAAGGAAGGTTCTTCTGATTTAGTGAAAGTATTAAATACCTGTGAAAGCAAAGCTCGTTACCACTGATGATACCTAATAGCCACCACAACGCCCTGCTGCATGGCTGGTGTACGTTATCTAACTTATTTTACACTGTGACTCTACGGAGTAGGTCCTAACATAAGCCCAATTTTACAGATGAGATACTAAAATCCAGGAAGGTTAAGTCATATTTCCAGATTCAAGCAGCCAGTGACAGAGATGGGCCTGGAAGGCAAGTCCTTGACTCGAAGCCATGCGCTTCATGGACGTTGGGGAACTGAGATGCCTTTGAATGGAGAGAAAAGACCCATACCTGTTAATGGACCCCAGCATCCGGCAGCGTCTGCATGGCATCTACAGCCAGACCCAGAATGGGAGGGGACGCCCAAGGTTGGCCACCAAATGCTTTCATTCCTAAGGACTCTTTCATTGAAATTGGGATTTAAAGTAGCCCCTGCCAGCCCCCCCACCTGACTAACACACACACAACAGCCCTTGTTGTCAGACAGATTAAAACAAAATGATGCCGATTCTCTGGGTGCTGGAGCCAGGACTCTCTTTCTCAAGGTGGGGTACAAACACGAGACACAGGCAATCCCTTCAGCAATGGCCACCGGGGCAAACTCAGCAGGAACTGCTGGATGGAGAGTTTTGGGGGGGAGCCTGCACCCACATCACTCCCTAGGGAGGTGAGTTCCAAGGTCTTCCTCACTTTTCAGCAATCAAAAATCAAGATCAAAACAGATAACCAACAAGGACCTACTGCATAACACAGGGAACTATACTTAATATTCTATAATAGGGCTTCCCTGGTGGTGCAGTGGTTGAGAGTCCGCCTGCCGATGCAGGGGACGCGGGTTCGTGCCCTGGTCCGGGAGGATCCCACATGCCGCGGAGCGGCGGGGCCCGTGAGCCATGCCCGCTGAGCCTGCGCGTCCGGAGCCTGTGCTCCGCGATGGGAGAGGCTACAACAGTGAGAGGCCCGCGTACCACAAAAAAATAAAAAAATAAATTCTATAATAAACTATAAGGGAAAAGAATCTGAAAAAATACATATATATGTATGTATAACTGAATCACTTTGCTGTACACCTGCAACTAACACAACATTGTAAATCACCTGTACTTCAGTGAAAACAAAACCAAAAAAAATATTGCTAAGACCGATATCAAAACAAAACAAAATGAAGATCATATCCCCCACACTCTCCCTAGCAAACAGAGACCAGAAGATGTCAGGCGCTCTGCCTAGGCTGGGCAGCAGAAGCGGGCCTGTTCACCCAATATTTGACAGGGTGTAGGCCTGGGAATGAAGACGGGGCCCGGGGATGGGCTGTCTGTCCTCCAGCCACCCCTGTGGGGGAGGGAACCTCAGCCATTCCACTCTACCAACTCCCGCTTTGTAAGAACCCTCCACCCAGTCTAACTCCACTACCTGTATCAAACTCTTAAATATGCCTCACGCATCCCTAATTTTGCTAATGCCATTCCCTTCAATTTACCTTTCCCTTTTCTCCAACTGTCTCAGAATCCTGGCTGCTCTCCCAGGCTCAGATCAAATCCTTTCTTCTTCCACAAACTACCATGACCTCTCCCCAGCCCTGTTGAGTCCCTGAAATCCCAGCCCATTTACTAACCCATTACATTCCCCACTGGGCCTATAGATACTCAGCACTGCACAGCAGTCCTATGACATTTCACATGTCCACCCATCCACCCAACAAATATTTATTAAGCGCGTGCCGTATGCACTGTTCTGTCACTTCCCTTGTCCATTCTCTCCTCATTTCCCAAGGTGGCTCCTTCCCACCTTCTGTTCTGCCGCAAACCTCCCCCCCCCCGCCCCCGCCCTCCCTCAGCAATCTCACCCAGTCTCACGGCATCGGTACCATCTTAGTCACTGAGACCCCCTGCCCTGACCTCTCTCCAACACTCCGATGGCTAACAGGTGACCTACTGTAGCCAGATCAGAACTCCAGATCCCCCATAAACCCTGCAGCCTGTGCCTCCCAGTTTTCCCCACCTCGATAAATGATTCACCCATCTGTGCGAGCCACAGACTTCAGAGTCATCATCGTCTCCTCTTTCTTTTTCTGCCCATCCCCCCATGTCCATCCAGCAGCAGACTCCTTTGGCTCTGCCTTCAAAACCTACTGCCTCTATCCCCTCCAGGACACAGCCCTAGCCCAGCCACTGTGGTTTCTAGCCAGGCCAAGGAACAGCCTCCAGCAGGTCTCCCGGCTGCCACTCTTGTGTATTTTCTTTACACAGCAGCCAGAGTGATTGTTTTAAAACATAAGATCATGATGTTTGCAGCTCAAAACCCTCCAAAGGCTGCTGAACGTCACCCTTTGGATTTCATTCTAAGTCCTCAAGGCATACAAAGCCCCTGCCTGACTTAACCTGTTACCAGGCACCTCCAGCCTCACTGGCTTCCTTGCAAATTTCTCAAATGCACCTTTGCACCTGCTGACCCTGAAAAGCCCTCCCCTCACCTCAGTGACTTAACACCTCCCCCAGCACTCTTCATCCTCCAATCCCTTCACAGCATTTATCACGACCTAACATTATTTGAAATATTTATTTTGTTCATGTATCACCTCTTTTCTCCATCAGAAGATCAGCTGCTCCACAAAAGCAAGGATTTGCCTGCCTAGTTCACCGCTGTATTCTCAATGCTAAGTGATGCAGGCACACAGCAAGGATTCAATAAGTATTTGCTGAGTGAATGCATGAATGGGTGCTGCCTAGCCATTTTCTTGTTGCGTACGTCTGACCTCCTCTAACCCGAGGCTGAGCAGCCTCTAACCAGAGGCAGCCTCTTGTACATCTTTTCATCTTCCTATACCTCCTAGCCCAGCGGCCAGTTACAAGGGCAAGCTCAGGGCTGGGAAGACAATCAGGTTGCACTATCAGTGGGAGGTGCTGCCTGACGTGCTGTGACAAAAAGGACCCGGAGGCCGGTCTAGGTTTAGCATCATTGATTTGTGTGCCAGGGGCCCGGGGTGGGTGTAAAAGTGTAGTCCTTGGGACTGCCCAGCCTGTTAACCGGGGGATTCTTGAGGCGGGGTAGAAAGCTGGATTGGCAGGCAGAGCAGGACGGTCCTGGCCAGTCCTAGGGTTTGGGAAGCTCAGGAAACAGGCCACTAACCCACAGGGCAGCTGACGCCAGTGGGCCCCAGGGTACCAGCTGATGCTGCCCCATCAGCCCTCTGCTCCTGGAAAGGCCCTCAAGGGAAATGTCAGGGAGTACAGGAGCCCCGCCCCCCCACCCCGCCTCCTGCTCAGCCCACCCACCCCAGCCATGGCTACACAGAGGCTCAGGGGAGCGGCCATTTGTCCCAAAGCTCTCTTGGGCCTGGGGGCAGAGGCAGAACTGGGCCACATAACTTACAGGGCACAACTTTGCCTTCCCGACAAGATTCCTGGCTACAGAGCTCCACAGGCACTTATCCAGGACGCCCAGCCACTTCCTGCTGCAGGAGACCAGCACGGATGTAACAGGAGGGCACGGGCCCTGGGTCTTTCTGCCCAGCCATGCTGTCCCTTTGCTCCCTGTGCCCCACCAGGCACGGAAACAGTGAAGGCACTGGAGCAGGTGCCCATCGGCGCTACCAGCCTCATTCACTTAAGCTGGGAGAGGGGGCGTCCATGCGTTGCCGCCTGCTGCTCCCTGCCGGGAGGGTGGATTACCAGAAGCGCCCTCCCTCGAAGTCTTCGTCCTGACCTGCCGCTCCCAGGCTGGACGCTGTTCCCACCACTGGAGGGTGGGTAGAAGGCCGGGGTGGGCAGGAGAGGGAATGGGGGGAGGGTGGAAGACGGTCGGCGGGACTGCAAGTCTGAAACCCCTTTCTCCTGTTCCTCTCTTTGAAACGCGAGTTGGCGGACTCGACTTCTTATATAACACTACTTTCGCGACCAAAGCACTCTTCACATCTGAGACTTTTCACGACCACCTTGGGGGCAGTTTCAATGCCCCCACTTGCAGGAGGTCAAGGTATTTGCTCCGATAGCACGTGGCTGAGCAGCGGCAGGAAGACCAGAGTTCCCATTTCCACCCCCAGACCAGGGAGCCCTCCTGCACCCACGATGGAGAGTGAGGAAGAAAGAAATAACCAGCCATGCAAAACCCGAAAAAGGAATCCTTTCTCTCCAAAGATTATGAAATCGAAGAGCATTTTGTTGTTTCTTGGACATTCTTCTTTCGACTCGGAGGCCACACAATTCAACAGCCTTCCCATTATTATTATTGTTAAAGCACTTAGTTTAGCTCCTGCCTCCTTTACCAACTTTCTCACTGACAGAGAACTCAAGCGTTTACCTGGGCTCAGCCTTGGACGGGGCGAGCAGGTCGCGCGGGCTTCCAGCCTCCTCCTCCCCGGGGCTTGGCTCCAAGGCTCCCGCAAAATCTCGAAATCGCCCCGGATCTGCGCGGCCACTGAGGGAAGCAGCCCGGCTCTGAACAAGCCCAGGCAAGCCCAGGCAGAGCCCGCTTCTTGGTCCTCCCTCCTGCGCGCACCGCACGGCCCAGGGGCGAGAGACGCGTCTCTCCTGCCCCAGGTCCGTGGAGTCGACTCGCTCCAGACAGGCCGGGCGCCTGCAGCTACTCCAACTGAAAAGGAAAAGGGCCCAGGTAGGGCAAGGAGGGGCGGTTGGGGGCGGCGCCAGCCCAGCGGGGCAGGGCGGGAGCGCCGCAGGCGCCCGGGTCACGTCGGGGCAGGGGGGGTGGTGTAAGCTTTGACAGAGGCCCGGGGCGCGGCGGCGGGGAGCGCTGCTGGGGGCCGGGCGCGCTCGGCCGTGGAGCGGGTCCCCCCGGGCACCGGGTCCCGGGCCCTCCACCGCAGCCGCCTGGCTGGGCTGGTGCTGCCCTGGTGACAGCGCGGACAGCGCAGCGCCCCTCGCCTCCGCCCGCCGCGGGATTCAGGGGCGGGATCCCGGGGCGCGCTCCCGGAGCCGACGACCGGACTCCACGGCCATCGCGACCCATCCGGGAGCTCCTCGCCCCTCCGCGGCGGGACCGAAGCCCGGGCGGGCCGAAGTGGGCCTGTAAGAAAGCAAACAGAAACCACGCGGCCGCCCGCCGCGATGCCCAGCCCGCGGGCCTCTCCCCGGGAAGAGGGAAAGAGAAACCCGCGTCCCGGGCGCGGGCGAGGGAGGTGCCCTGGGTCTGGATCTGCCGTGTCCGCGACATTGCCAGCCTGGAGAGCTCGGAAGCCCTACGCAGCCCCGATTCCAGGAGACGGGAAAGGACTTATAGGGCCAGAAAGTGGCACCCCGCTGGGGCCACCGCCCGCCGGCCCGGCGCCCCACCCCCACTCACCTCGCCTCCAAGTTCCGGCGCTGCGGGCCGCTGGGTGTCTGGGCTCGCGCGTCCCGGGGCGCAGAGGCGGGCGGCGGGCATCGTCCAGGCGCGGCGCTCGAGAGTCGGGTGCTACGGGCGGGGACCGCGTGAGGCAGGGCTCGGCTGAGCCGAGGGGCCGGGCGCAGCCCCCAGCAACGGCCTTAAAGCTTCCCGGAGGCACCAACGCAGACTCTGGGAGGCGCCGCACAGCCCACGAAGTGCGCACCTCCCTTTTCTCCCGTTTCCACGCTGCCCTGCGCGTGGCGCGGGACGCCCCCGGGGTAGATGGGGACGCACGTGCAGCAGTGGCCCTGAAGACCCCTCTCTGCTGTGCGGAGGGGGCTCCCCAGCCATTCTCCCTTCCCCAACCATCGTAGATCCCACCCAGTCCGACCAGGTTTGGACCTGGGAGACGAACTGCCCCGCGGCCCGCGCGCCCAGGTATGAAGGAAAGAGGAGTTCCCGGGGCCTCCCCATGCGAGCGTTTCTGCCCTCAGGGTTGTTGCAGGACTGAAATCGCTTCCTCCGAAGCAAACCCTCCTCGCAGCCTCAGCGCTTGCGACCCGGCAGGCACCTGTCTCCTCCACAGACGCAAAGCTTACGGCGAAGGTCTTCTCGGCCCCGTGAGACTCATGAGGCTCGCACTGGGAGAAAATGGTCCTTGGGGGGGAAGCAGCCGCTGCCCAGACGGGTAATCCCATTTGGGCACACGGGGGGGGGGGGGGCAGGAGGAGGCCAGGTGTGAGCTGTCCCCATTGGACAGACGACCGTCCCGAGGCTCACAGGGATGAGTCTGTGTGGAGTCCATGTTCCCAGACTTTCCGGGGTTTCTAGAATAGTCCTAGAGAAGGAACGAGCCAGTCAGCAGGTGAGAACGCCCAGGTGCATTGGATAGCTGCAGGTCAGGTCTACCTTTCCCCACACCAGCAGTCCAGGGGAGAGGACAATTCCCCGCCCACCCTCGCCCCAGGGTGGCCATCGCCGCGGAGTAGATGGGGTGAGGAAGGCTTTGAGGATCCTGAGATTCAGGAGGATTCAATGAGGCCGATGGCTCTAGAGGCAGCACAAGCTGATGGAAGGGAAAAGGGGGTTCTAATCCTGATTCAGTGTGTGACCTCTGGCAATAATAATAATAATAATAGGGACTTCCCTGTTGGTCCAGTGGGTAAGTCTCCATGCTCCCAATGCAGGGGGGCCCAGGTTCGATCCCTGGTCAGGGAACTAGATCCCATGTGCATGCCACAATTAAGACCTGGCGCAGCCTAAAGAAATAAACAAATAAATATTAAAAAAAAAACAGTAAAGCTAAGTCACATTGAGTGTTCAGTGTGCCAGGCATCACCCTAAACCCACCCCAGATAATCTCTTTCAATCCTCAAAACAGTCCTATGAGATAGGTACTAGTACTGCCCCATTTTCAGGTGAGAAAATCGAGGACCAGAAAGGTAAAACTTGGCCACCATCGCAAGGAGGAGAGTGCGGGGGTGGAACCAGGACCCAAATCCATGCCTTTCTGACCCCCAAGCCTCACTTCTTAAGCACCTGTCATCCGGCCTCAATTTGGCGAATTGCTTAGCCTCTCCAAGCCTTGGTGTCCTCATGTGTATGGACAGCGTGAGGCCCATGGTATGGATTCAATATATATTGGTGGAATGAATGAATGGCCCCCCACCCCCACCCCTCAGAGTAGCTGTAAGGACTGCAGTAGTGGAGTTCCTGCACGTAGCAGGCACTTCCATGCATTCATCAGCTCATCAAAGGAACCTCTATGGAGCCACAGGCCCGAGGAAGCAATAGTTTCCTGCTCCAGGTGTATAGACACTTGGGAGCATTTCCGGCTGAGACCTCCGCCCTCACTGATTCTTTCTTCTCATTTTCTTTTCAAAGCCACCAAAATGCCTTGACCTGGGCCAGTAACAGATGAATAAGTACACTTGGGAGACACCAGACTCTGGTAACTAGGGGACTGAAATAACCAGATTTGTATTCACTTTTCCATCCAGAGAGGCCAAAGCATATCTAGGCCTCATTTTTATTGTCTTGAATCATTTTTGTGGAAGTGAGGACCGGCTTACAAAGGCCTCTCCATATGCCAAAGTCTGTCTCACCACTTCCTACCCCAGGATGTTGAGTCCCTTAGTATTTCCCCTAGAATCCATCCAGCACCCGGATGTACACACACCCCTGACTAACAAGCAGAGGGGCTACGGAGAAAGGGGGCTACAGAAGTAACAAGGACAAGCTTCAATTTATGCCCCCCGCCCCAGACACAGCTTCGAAACAGTGCACCCGGGAGGCATTCATGTCTTAAATCTAACCACCGAGGCCCAAGGTGTACTGTTCCCCAGTCAGCCTAATGAGATTGATCTTGTCCAAAAATGTGAATTAAAAAATAGGATAACGATGTCCTGGGATTAGATCATACTGATGGTTGCACGATTTTGTGAATCTAGTCATCCCTCCGTATCCAAGGGGGACTGGTTCCAGGACCCGCCTCAGATCCCAAAATTTGAGAATGCTCAACTTCCTTATATAAAATGAGGTAGTATTTGGATATAACCTAGGCACATCTTCCCGTATACATTATATCATCTCTAGATTACTTATAATACCTAGTACAATATAAACACAATGTAAACAATTGTAAATTTAATGTAAATGATATATAAATAGTTGCTGGCACCAGCAAATTAAAGTTTTACTTTTTTGGAACATCCTGGAAATTTTTCTTTTAATTTTTTTCAATCCACCGTTGGTTGAATTCACAGATACAGAACCCACGGATACAGAGGGCTGACTGTATACTAAAACGCACCAAATTGTATACTTTTAAATGGTGAAATTTATGGTATGCAAGTTATATCTCAGTAGAAAAAAAAAAAAAAAGGAGTCACTATTCTTCCTTACCGCCTGGAAATACATGGCATGAACCCAGCAGGTCGTCTGAAAGCCCCGGCGCTCTTGATAAACACTAACTCCCCTGACACAGAAGATCTAATCCCAGTGTGGGTAACACGAGGGGGTCAGTCATCCTATGGCTGCAGCCATTCTGCTGGGGCCCTGGTTGTGGCCATCTCAGGAACAAGTGGCCACAGGTCCAAGGCAGTCTGTCTCTTATGCCCTCGAATACAGAACTACGGGGACACAGGGTCCTCCTAGACTGGATCCTGCAGAAGAAAGGGGGTTTGGGGGAGGACTTTCTTCATTGCAACCCTGCATCTGTGAATGAAAAATGTTGCCTGCCATACAAGTAAACAAAGGGTGTTGCAGCCATCAAGCCACCATATTACAGTCGCCCTGATGGTGAGCCCTGAGGGAACTCGGGATGGAAGCAGGGTTCCCCCCCACCGCTTCTAGCAGTCAACTACTGCAGTCACCCTGCAACCGTGCACCCTGAAGAGCCTCAGGATGAGAAAACACAGGACACTGGCCCCAGATAGCTGAGGTGCATATCAAAGGAATGATTTCAGTGAGCCCAGACTCTTGCATCTTCCCATACATAGAAAAGTGCTAAATTCCTGAACTTAAGATGTCTGGTTTTCTTTAACAGTAGTCTTTTGATGTTCTGACTACCTGGTCTTTGTTGCAAAAACTCCTAGATCTCTTGGCTTCCCCCTTGCCTCTTTGGAGCAGCCCCTCAGAGCTGAGAGGCTGTGTCCTGGGCTTAAGTCCTCAGAATGTCTGCCGAATAAACTATAACTCTCATCTTTTAGGTTGTGCATGTTTTTGTCAGTCAGCACATCAGAGAGTCATTTGGTGGGGTGATGGTGGACAGGCCAGGGTGGGTACCTGTGTGTATCATGCGGAGGTGTTCCAGGGAGCCTACCTAGCACTTGCGAAGCCCTTGTGTCAGCAAGCACTCTTCAAAGCCCCACCTCTGAATAAGGAAGCGCAACTTGACTTGTTGGGTTGGTGAAGAAATCGCCACTGGATTAAAAAGAGCAAATAAATGTAAGAAGTCAAAATGCTGTACAAAGGGGAGAATTATTTTTAAGCGTTTACTCATTGCTATGCTGACTGGGCATTTTAACTAAATATAGCTTTAAGTTTCTTTTATTTTCCAGCTCCTAAAGTTGCCCTGTGGCTTATACATCAAATTCACCTTTTTCCTAATTGAGGACAGAGAGAGGTCAGCTTACTCTTAGGAGATGTCCATCTTTGGAGCAATTGATTGATCGACAGATATTTGATACATACACATACATACATTATTTAGCTACCATTTATCAAGTCCTTATTATGTACGTTACGCACTGTTATGTGTTTTACAGACTTGATCTCATTTGATCCCCCAGCAGGTCTATGAAATCCCTACTATTATGCCCATTTAGCAGGTGATAAACTGAGCCTCAGAGAAGCCTCAGTCCCACAGCCTTATCTAAGATCATACAGCCTCTAAGCAACAGACCTGGGGTTTGGACCTCTGCTGAATCCCAAAGGCAGTTAACCTCCAAACACAAGGGCACGATTTGACAAAGGCGGCAGGCACGAGGGCACCCCAGCCATTTTTGTTGCGATGAGTGAAAACTCCCCTACCTTGAGTCCAGAGAAGGGAGACTTTGCCCAGGTCTGTTTGCTGCCTGCAGCTTTCATAAATACACATACCTGCTACCTCCCATTTCTCCAGTTCAAAGAGGAAAATAGGGCCAGTTTCCTTTCAATGTCTAAACTGACAAGGGCCCCAAGATCCCCTCCAGAGACCTGTGAGAAGCACAAGGATCCATCCCCCCAAAGAACCCTGGAGCCGCAGCTCACGCCAAGGCTGCCAGTCTCGATGGTTCTTCACTTTTTTTTGGGTCACATAATCCTGTGAGAATCTGATGAAAGCTATTAACCTTTTCCAAGAAAAAACCCAACAACTCCCATCACACAAAATTTTACTTACAATTTCAGAAGACTCCTTGCCTGCATCCTCCCTATCTCCTCCTCGCATCAAATTTAAAAGGTTAAAAACGGCGTGATGCTGTCCGATAGAACTGTCTGTGATGGTGGAAAAGTTCTACATCTTTGCCGTCCTATTCGGTAGCCACTAGCCACATGCGACTGTTGTAATTAAGTAAAATGTAACATTCAGTTCCTCAGTGCATTATAACATGTGGCTAGTGGCTACCGTATGGAACAATGCAGCTCTAAGTGTATCCTGAGTTAAGCCAGAGCATCAGAGAATTGCCAACCTGGGCCACATCACACGCTGGCTTGTGTTTTAGGGTCTTATGAGAAAGAGACCTAAGACAGGGTTCCCTACCCACTGTGCTTTACTCTAAGACACTGTTCATTACATGAAGCATAATAGGTATTGATAGGGGTCTCCATGACCATCCACTTTTGGGGGCTGGGATCCCCAGAGGCACCCTGGTAAGGAGACTTTTCTTTGATCACCAAATTGTCCTCTAACTTAGTTCAAGGCAGAAGGCTTTTCAATATCAAGCCAACCGACGTGCTCTGACGAAAATGCAGCCGTCTGGATATGAGCACGAGGGTGCTTGACAGGTAGTAGTATGACCGAGTTTGGGCACAATATTTGGAAAGGTCTGATGGGTCACTTGTGCCGGCAGCTCCCAATCGGACCAGAACTAGATCTGGATGGCTCCGTAGACTGATGGCCCGGAGGCTGTCTCTCTGCAGTCACTGGAGACAAGAGGAAAGGCCCCTTGGCCTTGCGGCTGCACCTGCTGAGACCTATGGCAGAAGGGAGGGGCCTTGTCCGAGCCAATGAGGCTTTCAGGACCTGAAGGCTGCCGGGTCAGTGCCCACCCACTTTGCTGCCATGGGCCCGGGTCTGGCAGGTGCTCTTTCTTGCCCACTGGGTCTAGGAAGGCAGCACTGAAGCTGGCTTTTGTTCTGCTCATCCCTCATCAAGGTCACCGATGACCTCCACGTTGCTAAACCCAATGATCAATTTGAAGCCCCCATTTTGCTTGACGTATCAGCATCGTTTAACAGAGCTGGTCCCTCCCTGATCGTTGAAACTCTTTTTTC